AAGACCACGAGTTCGACTCGTGATATTTATGTTTGGTTCGAAATGTCGAGTCAGACTCGTGATATTCACGTTTGACATGAAATTAGACCACGAGCCTGACTCATGATATTCAGGTATGGCCCAAAATTCTCATCACGAGTCAGACTCGTCAAAGTATGGCAAGAGGTTAATGTATTTAAGAAAAATAAATTGTAAACACAAATTGTTCAGCTATTAAAATATGGTGTGTTTTATGTTATTCGCATCCGGCAATGTGTGAAAGATTGTCCATTTATATTTAATAGACTTTAGCCAACATGTTAATCTTTAATCAATGAGCATACTTATGATTATATAGTATAGATTGCGATCTATACGCGCTCTCACCTTTCTTATGTATGAGAGAAGAATAAAAAGGGTCATGTTTGTGTTTGACAGGTGGCACATTTAATTCATCATCGTTATGTAATGCAGGCTGTAAGACCTGCACTACAAAAAGTTGCATCATGACATCCTTTCCATATTCCTGAAATTAAATGTTAGAGGATAAAAAATTCAAAAGTAAACTAGCAATCCGTATTATGCTGTTGCTAAAAACGAAATTTAGATATCAACACATCTTACAGTACATTAATAATTTTACGTGGCTGAAGTTTGGAGTAATCTTCGAGCGAGAATTGAAACCGAAGCACTCGGCAGAAATTTTAATTTTACGTGAATGTTTGTACGCGTGCAATCTTTTTTGTTTTTTTTTGTTCATTTGTGTAAATATTTTACACATTTTTCACAATTTTATTATTTCTGCATATTTTTTACTAAGATTAAACTTGAAAAAAAGATTTTTTTTTCATTTAAGCGTTGTATTAAAAAATAATCTCCCTAATCCACTAAGAAGTTAAGAAGTATTCGGCCATCGAGAATAAAGCACCGGTTTTATTAATGTTGTATGTATTTTCCAATTTTCGCGAACAATCGTAAAGATTCTCTTCTAATAACTTTTGTCTAATTTTTACGTTACTGAGAATGCGCGGACTGGTCACCTTTTTAATAAAATGTAATTTTTTTTTTAATTTTCGCTCGAAGATCGCTCGAAACTTTGATCATGTATAATTTTAGATATTTTTATGTGATATACGAAACAGCTTAATTTCTACTCTACGCTTTAAGCTCCATAAAATTACTACAACAATTAAATGATCATCGTTCCCTTGTAATTTATTAGCATATAATGGATTCGTCAAATCTAATGAATCTGCACTACGTCTGCAAGTGTCTCTTTTTATTATCTGAACAAAATCGCATGCCACTAAGGCTAATTAGAGATGTATCTAAGGAAAATTATTCACCTTTCCAGCGATTTTATAACTGAGGTATGTTGCAAATGCATGGTTTAACCACTGGTGAGACCACTTTATTGGGCTAACGAGACTCTCAATGCACTGTCGTGTCAATTGGCTTGATATTTCCTTCCATATTTCGATTTTACGACCGGGAAAATGAATAGTCGGTTGATAAAGGAAGTCTCTAAAAGTGAAATTTTCAATTAAAACATTCACGTCGAAAGTTCTCTCACGCATTTAAGTTAACGGCAGGTATTAAAATTAATTTATGTAAAATAAATTAATAAATAAAGAAATAAAATGAATGAATGAAGAAAGAAAAGTAAAATAAAATAATGCGAAATTATATAGAATTCGATGTGTCAAAAATTCTATATATTGAAGCTGATTTCGTTGCTAAATAACTTTTGCAATTCTTTGTTAATATTCATATATAACCGACAACTCGCAACAAAAACGACGAATTTCTACATAAGCGCTGAGAGAATCTTTTCTCGTGTTCGGGTGAACGTGCATTACCTGAAAACTATGAATCCCCAAGCTCCCACGGCATTACTCGGGAAATTCGGATGTGTAACAACATGAATTTTCAAATTTTGCCACAAGTTGTCCGTGTATTTTTTTAAAAATCTATCAGCGAATATAGTAGTTCGTAAAATAACATCTACTTGCTCCTCCTCATGCCTTTTGAACCACGTTATTTTGATGTTGTCCTTTTGTGTTGAATAGCTAGGGAATAATCCGGTAATCGCGATCGTCACGAGGTAGGTGGACATCACAGGTGTACATTCAAAGTTGGTCAGTACCATTGCCTGTTCCGATATTTGTTTTCTCTCCTTGGGCGGCATGTTCGAGAAGACCTTGACTGTATACAAATGCACGATCGAGATGTTGAAAGTGGCCTTGAACGTTGGCTCGTCCCAGCATGGAAACATGCGTCGAGCTCCGATCCGTTCGAATTTCGTTATGTACATTAACCTAACCAAAATTTAACAAAAAATAAAATAATAGAATAATAATAATAATAAAAGAGATTAGATTTAAATAAGACGATAATAATAATAAATGGCAAAATATTATTAACTAATAAAAAATAATAGAAGCACCGTTGTAATTGCATTGTTATTTATTAATTTCATGTCGTTTCCGCGATATGTGAGATTCCAGTGATTTTAATTACGTTATTTTTTAATTGAAATTTCTCAATATATTCTGTCAGTATTTTTTGATAGATATACCAGACTCTTATTTAAGCTAATTATAATAAGAGTTTTTAAAGATTCGTCGAATCTTATACTATAAATACATTTAAATATGACCTAATTATTGACGCAATTATAAGTAGATTAACCATTTGGAAGCTGAGATATTCATAATTAAAAATGACGTTTTTTATATACATTCCTTGAGACTAATACTTTATTTTTAACCTCAATTTCTATCTTTTTTTTACATCATATTTAGCATTTTAATGAAAAACTATTATGATATCAAGGATTAATATAGAAATATACAAAAATTTCAGAATTGTTGACCATATTGTTTTGAAAATATAACCATGGAAAATTTACAATTTACAGTAATACCTACGATATATGTATATATACATATAGTTAAATATTTATATATCATTTTCTATTATGTATGCGCCTCTATTAGCTCAACTGAGATAGAATAAAGCATTAATAAGAAATGTAAAAATATAAATAATATATTCGTGTTTATAATATTGTGTGTATGTTTTTCTTAATTTAGTTCAAAATTAACATTCATAGATTAACATTTATACATATAAATTAATATTTAGATATTTAAATGAAATTACAGAAAAGTATATTTTTCAATAAATAATAAACTTATAAACAACTTAAGGGCCCTTTGAAAATCCACTGCAAATCCAGGGTAAATTCTACGAAACAGCTACCTTAACATTCTTAACACGCATAGTAATTCTTTGGGAATTTGTCGGTCTGTATTTTTTATACCTGAGAAACTTCTTTGTCAGAAAACGTCGATCTTGACCCGGTGCGTTAATGATCGTTCAGTTCTTTTGTATCGCATGAAAGATAAAATTATGCATACAACAATAATTAGGAATGAACAGGGAATGTCGCTCACATATAATTACCAGACGGAAAAAATATTTTGTTGGCACAGAAAATTTTGTCAGTTATTATACGGACAGTAAAAAAAGATTTGTTTGAACAGCAAAAAGATTCGTTGGGGTAGCAAAAGAATTAAGTTAGATTTTACTAAAAACATGTTACAAAAGAATTTGTTAAGAATATTAATTACTATTTGCTGGATATAGGGACAGCAAAATAATTTGGTCATGCCAATCAAACGTTTTGCTAAAATAGCAAGATTATTTTTTCCGGGTAACAAATTTTTTTACTGCCGGCAGTAGCTAGATAATTTGCTGCGCCAGCAAAATAATTTTTTCCGTGCAGGCTTATCAGTTCAATGGACATTGGAATTTACTAACGTCACACTAATCTCTCGGTATATCGTGCTCGATAAACGACTGATTCTTTTCGTATTTAATTTGTTACTCACTTGCTGTCGAACCCCGAGTTAGCCTCATTGTTCAACACGAGGCCTTGATTGATGTGTGAAGCGGCCTCAAATTTCATGCTTAGCGTGTAATTCCCAGGGGACAGTTTTTCATAGAATTTGAGAGCAAATATTTGCGACTGGTCGTAATAGCTAATATTCTCCCATCGTACGTTCGTATATAGACCATTATCGCTTCGTTCGTGCTTCAGAAGCTTTACCGTGCTGAAGTTTATGGTCATGTTGTGAGCGTGAAAAATAATGTTCGTGGTTTGACGAATCACCTCGATGAATATACTGCTCTTCCCGACGAATTTGTCATTCCTCAGTGTCAGCTCAATATCATAATGTTGGGGTTTTATGTCGAACGGTAAACGGTAATCAAGCGAGTCAAGCGAGTAATTTCCCGAATGGACTTTCGAGAACTCGATGGTATATGCCGCCATCACAACGGCGAATATCACAAAGCTATATATCGTTTCTGACATCTATAAGAATATTTTTCCCTTCGATGAAGAAGAACAATAGACAATACACAAACACACGTATGATACTGTAAGCGTCTCAAGTCTTCACGGTACTTATATTGATATCATGTATTATCCAAGTGGGAGGTACACGTTGAAACAAAAACCCTACGTAATTATAAGGGACATTTCGAGCTATTATCACGTAATATCTACAAATTTGAGATACTAATCTTGAAATGTCCCTAATTACGTAGGGTTTTTATTTTAACGTGTACTTTAAATTTTGGCGGTACATAATTGACAGTGTACAATGTACATTAAGCGGAAGGTGGTGAATTAATTTTCCGTAATGTAAATTTCCGTAAATTAATTTCTTTAGGAATCTTTTCAAACTTTAACAGCTTTAACAGCAACATTAACATTAATTGAAACACGATCTATGTATATGTAAAAGTAGAAAAAGATTGATACTGAAGCTGAGATAATTGAAGTCAAAGTTAACATTATTTACATGTATCATAGGTAAAAGGAAAATCGCTCCTAATATCACGTTTTTAATTTTAGACCATTCTTACAATTTTTATGAAAAACAAGAAGACTTAATAAATAGTAACAACCATTACCTCTCTAACAATATTGTCACGAATCAACTACTTTAATAATTATTTCTTTTGATTGTTACATTCTTTTGGATCTATCAAAGTTCTAAAAGTTTACTTCAGTCACAGGTAACATAGTAAAAAATTTTGTATTATAAAGGTCTATTGAAAATTTGCGTTATTCTAACATGGGAAATGTATTAGAAAGTACACCAGTATAATATTAGAAAGTACACCAGTATAATATTAAATCAACACATTTATCTTGTTAACATGTTTTTAGTAAAATCTAACTTAATTCTTTTGTTGTTATTGTGTCAGAACTGACATAACGTACAAATTTTCTGTTTTTCTACACTGATGAGTCTACCATATACTAAAATTAAATTTATAAAGATAGACAAAAACTTCTACGCAAAGAAAAAATTTTATAAAGTTAAAATGTAACCTTTCCATAGAAATCGTTAATCAAACCAGATAATTAAAATTTGAATATCTTGGAATCTACCACAGACATGTATAATAAATTCAGCATGCAAGTCTTGATAGAGAATAGTAAGAGAGATAAAATATTAGGCAAGTTTTTATTCTTTGTCTGCATAGGTCAAAGTGCAAAATGCATGTAAAACAAAAGACATCCTAAAATATCCAAGGATATTTTGCCTCCCTCTCAATTTTGCTAAGCTCACTTTTTCTCATACAAAAATATACGGTGTTATTATGTATGTCTGGAAACTACAGCAAATACGATGACATATTAAGAGGATTAAGTGATGTACTAACGATCTACTAATGATGTCACAGACGTGATTATATTACATCATCGTGTTTGTTGGGTAGGCATTTCAGTAAATAATAGTTTCTCGCTAGCTTCTATCCCGTGTAGGATTGCTGGTCCCCCATCGGGCGCCTCCCCAGGTAGTGGATTGGGGAATACTCGCCGGTATGCCGGAGGGTACCGGAGAAATAAAATCCCTGGGTTGAACCAAAACTAGCAAATAAGGCAATGAACAAAACTACTACGGAAAGGATTACTCCAGATGGCAGCGCGAGTTCTTCGGTAAATCCACCCTCCTTGGAGGCAGACCCCACAGATTCTGAAGGGGGGGGGGGGACTATTGCTTTATAAAGATCAAAACAGTATAATGGAGTTGAATATGAAAGATCTTCAGACTGAAAAGGAACAATTTCTGTATAAGGCCTTATTAACGGCAATCAATGAAAAACAAAAACTAATCATGAAAATAGAACAAATAATAGAACAATAAATGAGAGAAATGAAACCTAAGAAATGTAAATGTACTAATGAGCTAAGAAATGTCAGTGTACTAATGAGCTACAAATAAATATTAAGTATAAAACAGATGAAGAGGAATTACGAAGGGAAACAGAATGGATACTAAAAAAAAGAAACCCAAGAAAGAAGCGGTAGGCGAGCTCATCACCGTATACATCACCTACAGAAGTAAGGACTAGAAACAAAAGCAATCAGAAAACCAATGTAACTGAAAATGACAAACTCCAACAGGTAGAACGACAAAAATTGGTAAATGAATATAGCAGGGATGAAAGAATATACCAAACTACATGAGATCATTAAGAGAGCGATATCGAAAGAATGCAAAATAGCCGCACTTAATAATGATACGTGAAAAATAGACACGCCAGATAGAGACTCATACAGGGCGCTAGCAGCCGAATTGATTAAATTCAATGGCACACATACGAGGATAAACATGAAAGACCCATCAAGATAATAGCTAGGAAGTTACATCCAACATGTAGTAAAGAAGATATAATTGAAGATCTCAGAAACAAGAGACTCAACGTGATAGACGTAGTAAATCTATTTAAACGAGAAACGAGAACCCTGGAAATTGGGAAAATTGAAATTGTGAAACGAGGATTACCATTCTTTATGATAACTTTTGATAATGAGGAAAATATAGAAAAAATTTATGCTATCAAAAATATATTAAACATTGTTGTGACCGCTACGCAAACGCGATTGATATCACAATACAAAGGTGTCAAGAATACAATTATACCCAAAAGTACTGTCAGAAAGAATCAAGATGCGTGAAATGTGCGGGTAAACATTACACCAAATTAATAAAAACACAACGCCGAGATGCATAAATTGCAATAGAGATCACCCGGCCAATTATAGAGGATATGAGATTGCAAAAGTACTACAGAAGAGGAAGGATACTCTAATGAAACCAA